AGTCTTGAAGACAGACGAAGGAAAAGTAAACAATCGGGTATGGTCTGATGAAAACCCCAGACCCCAAAATGCTGCAAACATGCAAAAAAACTATGCAATAGAAATATTTCAGACATCATAAGTAATGATGAGAACGAAATAGTGACATTAGTAAAAGGATTCTATTGATTGAATAAAAGCTAACTTCTCAACCTAGGTATGTAATGTACTACTATAATTTTATAATGTCTTCTAGAACAAGAGAGTCGTCCTCCGTAGAACAACGAAGCCAATATCCAGCCTTGAAATGGCTGTTCATTCATTTTTGTGTCAATTACGTCTGCAATTTAGCAACCCGTACATCAGGTGTATCATTTATAGTTATCAAAGTGCATATTTCCAAATAGGCAGCAAGCTATTATTTGGGTGTAACGACACAGAACACCGCTTCGCAAAAACAATATGGCAAAACACCGCACGGGATAATTGAATGTGTTTTGCAAATTTTTTTCTTCCGACCTAATGATCCAATTATCCAATTAGGCGTGAAACAGTAGCTACATAACGTTGCCAGATTTACTCTAACAGAAAGCTATGCTAGTCTGGTCAAGCGCATTGGCGCAAAAATCTCACAATGACAGCACTTTACGTGCAGGTATTCCGAGTGACTAGCCGATCTCTGTCGGTGAGCGGGAAAAAACAATACTGGTAGCGACTCTGACGATATACCTGAAGATGATCACAGCTTGGGGACGCAACAATCTTCTTCAGTTTATTGCTTCAAAAACACAGTACCGTGTACCTTGACGAATAAATGCGTGGCTAAACCTAGTTTTTCTGGTTCTATACTACAACTATTTAAAACTGTAATGACTCATACGCGTGATCAACACGTGATCAGAGCTCGATCTCGGCTTCCTTCCAGTACAGCCGTATAGCGTACGACATATGTCGTTTCTGTGGCTTTGCGGTGGTCAACAGCACAGACAGAGATGGAAATAATGGCTGATTGTTCTCCGCCGGTAGAACCAATGAAATCAAAGACGCGCCTCGACCGGCAGACTCATAGGCGTCGGCAACGCATTGGAACGTGTTTCGTTGAGCGATCGCATATTGTGTGTTTTTATAAGAATTGTTGTGTGATCTTATTGTTCTGGTTTCTGTGGTTACTGTTTTGGTTATACTTAACCATGGAGAGTACAAATGGCACGAGTGGAAGTACTGAAAGCCGGGGAACAAGTAGACGGCTTCGTAAAGCACTGAAGAGCGACGCGAAAGAAATCGTGCTCAACGTGTTCAATTATCTGAACAGAACTATGTCGCAGGGAGATGCACTCGCGTGTTGTGAAAGTATGACAGGCGTTCCAAAGTGGACCATTCGCAGGGTGGTGCATGAAAAGAAGAAAACTGGAGCTACTACTGATCCAAAGTTTAATTTGAAGGGACGCAAGGCCGTTAAATTGGATGACGATAGCAAAATGGCGTTAAGGCGAACCGTACATTCATTCTTCTTTAGGAATGAGATACCAACCCTCAAGGCTGTACATGCAGCGATCAAGGAAAATGAAATTATACCCCAAATGAGCGTCGAGGTAATGAGGAAATCCCTGCACGAAATTAATTTTCGTTACGAAACGCGTAATCGGAAGTCAGTATTGATAGAGAGACCTGAAATAGTCGCCTGGCGTCGAAAATACCTACGCGAAATGATTGAATATAGGCGACAAAGCAGAAAAATCAATTATTTGGACGAGATATGGGTAAATGCAGGTCACACAGTTAAAAAAACCTGGATAGACAAAAACGTAGTGAGTAACCGACAAGCAAGCATTGAAGGTTTGTCAACAGGTCTTCGTGGACCGTCAGGTCAAAGATTGATCGTAACTCATATTGGTAGCGATAGTGGCTTTTTAGAAGAGTGTGACTTGATTTTCGTCTCTAAGAAAGGAGGTGATTACCATGACGAAATTAATGCCAGCTGCTTCGAGAACTGGTTTCAAGAGGTGCTTCAGCGAGTTGAGCCCAACTCTGTGATCGTCATGGATAATGCTTCCTACCATAGTCGTCGAGCCTAACGTGTACCGACTATGGGACCTCGAAAAAGACATGCAGCAATGGTTGCGCGAAAAAGGAATCCCGTTTGACGATTCATGTGTGAAAGCGGAATTGTATGAAACAATTAAACAGCACAAACCTGCGAACATTAGTTACGTGACTGATGAGATGGCCCATCAATGTGGTGTCACTGTGCTGCGGTTACCGCCCTACCACTGTGAACTGAACCCAATAGAGCTCATCTGGGTTCAAGTGAAGGGTTATATTGCGCGCCATAACACAACCTTCAAATTACCAGACGTTAAGGTTTTACTTGAGACTTCCATACAGCTAGTAACGCCCGAAGCTTGGCAGAATGCTATCCGTCATGTTGTGAAGGAAGAAACAAAAATGTGGCAGCTTGACCACCACTTCGACACCATCATAGAGCCAGTTATAGTCAATTTCAACGAGGAAAGCGATAGCGACAGTTTATTACTGTCAGATGTAAGTGGAAACGACGATGAATAAAGGTAATTCCCAAATTTTTGACTTACAATATGTTTCAAACCACTCTTTATTAAGCATGTGACAAATCTAGTTCGCCCATGTGAAACATTCATACCCCGCCTATGAACAGCCGACTACTGCTAGTTAAGTGATGTTCACGTGAGTATCGATGAGTCATTACAGTTTTAGATAGTTATAGTATAGCCGTAACATCTATAACTCTTTCCGGAATATTAAGGATATTTCTGTACGCGCGGCAACGCCGCTTGCGTCGTTTTCACTTTTGAACTGCGCGAAGCGTGCCGGAGTCTTACGAAAGCTCTTCCTTTTGGCAGGATGTTTGTTTTTATTCCTTAATCACTCGAGGAAATTCGTCATTATCGGCCGGTTGCGTTTCTAGGTTAACCTTGAAATGGCCCGGATTACTAGATTAAGGTTGTCTATTGTTACGGTGGAACATGCAGTCTGGCTAATTGTGGCACGGACACGCGGAACGCCGTCCGAGATAAGCTGTGGGAATTATGGACGTGCACCGGACTTGAATGGGATCATTGTTCAGATATGGAATTGTCGTAATCGTATGGGAAATATTATTTAATATAAAATAGGAAATGGGACAATTTTCAAGGTTTGGCGACGAGATTTGCAAGAAAACAAAGGAACGCTAAGTACACTTATTATTTATTATTCGGCACTATGATTACTTCATCTGGTGTAACCTAAATACCGAGGCATCGCGACTACTATAAGGAACTTAATGGCAAATGTTTGACCTTAATAAGAATAAATAAAATATTGATATTTTATTTATGACTAATATAACATCGAAAACGGAGGCTTCTTGAGCTATTTCCGTCATGACGTCATCGCATTGAAGCAGAATATTTGTTTTGGAACGAATCTGTATTCAATTGTCAATTTCTACAAATTTTACAGAAACAAAGTTCTCTAATCTGTGTTGAAACATTGGCCTCGAGAACAACAATACTTAAAGTGCGAATTTCAGCTACAATAGATTCAACAATCCAAGTGACTTTTGAGTGTTTCAACATGATTTCTAAATACATGTACATTTTTACACTGTTTGGTAGGTCACTATGTTTTTGTGCTTTATGAAATTCAGTTTTTTCTAACCATTCCCCAAATAGGTAACATATATCTAAAGCGTGCAGAAAAAAGTTCATTTACTTTACTTTTTGTAGTTAAGTAGTATCTGTTTCTGTACAAAGCAGCCATCATCGACGTCGTTTTATCAAAAAAATTGATGATATATCTGAAAGAACCAGACTTTGAACATACACCTTCTGGCTATCTATGGACAGTAGTTTTTTGGAGAAGCAACAATATTTCATATTAATAGATTATGTGAGTTAAAGGAAAACAATCTCTGCTGGTGTAGGTGCCTCCCAGTAGGCATTGTAAACGCCATATTTTACTTTGCATAACATGAGCCCCCGATTTCGTTGTAATTGTATACAATTAGTCGACAATTACAGAGTTGTCCGATTAGAGAACAGAACCGGACTCAGACGTAAATTATCTATATTGTATTAGAAATAACTAATGCAATATTTTCCATGTTTGACTTAAATAATTTACTAAACACGTTTAATGTTGTATACAGAAGACTCTACCTAGAACATGGAGGCCACAGAAAGGGGGATAAAGGAATGTGTACAATACGTGCTTTTAAAAAACTTTTGGTGACTGAGGAAAATTCCCGAGTGCACTTGTTATCAAGAATGCTTCTTGCTCAATCTACATGAGTTTGAAAGCATCATTTTCACTAGATTATGAGAAAAATCTAAAACGATTTTCGTGAATAAAGAGGAATTCTTGACGAACCTCTGAAACAGTAAAATTGACCGTGACATTGTGTCATTACTGAAACATTTTCGTATATGCAACGATTCGCGGACGAGAAAGACCTCGATTTTATTTTGCAAACGCGTTCACCGCAACTTATCGCTCCTTTTTGTCCGTTTGTTTCCGATTTTGTATGGATGTGTGGTAATTGTGTCAGATTTCCTCTAAATCTGCTTAAAAAGCAAAACGACACGTTTGCAAAAATCACTAGGCACGTACTTTTACGAGCTCGTTCGAGTTATGTTTTACAATAGAAAACGAAAAACGGTTCTGGCACGCACCCGACGACAGCTCTGTTAACGCGCGGTTTTAATTTCCACAAAAGGACAATGTTGCGTTCTTATGCAGTCATTTTGTGTGTGATGTTATAAAAATCAATTCTTTTCAAGGGCCAATCTATGTAGTCGTTCTTTGAAGACTCCTCATTTTGATGACGTCTGATGTGACTTATCACTTAGGTGTGGTAGAATTTATAATCGTCGGAGAAGGAGAAATAATAAAGACTCGTATAACATGAAGAGTTGACTCTCTGTCCTGTCCTAGTTAGTTAGTTGTTGTATTCCGTCATATTGGGTAGCGCTTTGCCTAACAACGTTGTTCTTTTGTTTCAGTCCTTCTTCGGCCGTTCGTACAACAACCTGAGCTCGATCTCCGAATGCAAAAACAACGGCGAATGCGTAATCAACAAGAAGAACCGTACCGCGTGCAAGGCGTGCCGACTGAGGAAATGCTTGTTGGTAGGCATGTCGAAGAGCGGGAGCCGGTACGGCAGAAGGTCCAACTGGTTCAAGATCCACTGCCTGCTCCAGGAGCAACAACAACAGCATCAACAACAGCAAGCCGGGATGAATAACGGCCAGCAGGGGATGAAAGCGCCGCAGAAAACGCCACCCATGCATCCGGGGATGAGCATGGGCTTGTTGGGGATGAACTCGTTCCCGCCGCCGATGTTGCACTTGCCCAAAACCAAGGAGGAACTTATGATATTAGGTAGCTATTAAACTAATGAACAGATAATACAAGGTCTCTAGGTTTGTACAACAAGAGGTGCTCTGCGAGTAAAAATTATACTGCAAAAAAAGTTAGAAGTGGTGCGGAAAGGTACGCATGAGACGTCTCATGATCATGATAAGTGCTGTACGGCTAAGGCTGTACGAAACTTGGTATACATTGGTGAGTTGAGGCACTGAGCTCGAGTATGTTCTTAAAGAAATTGTTGAGCGTATAGGAACATATTGCTGTAGAAAATTACGCGTTCTACCCACTAATCAAGTTTACTCAAGGGTTTTTCAAGATTAATACGTTAAAAAACTAAAAATATTAGAGGAAGATTACGATTTTCGTTTTCTGTTGTGAGAAACAAACGAACTAAAATTGGCTAATTTGCGACAGATGAGTCGATATCTAAAGACATCAATTTTGTTCCAGGTTTAGACGAATACAACAAGCACTCTGCATCTCCTTCAGTAAGCTCACCAGAATCTCACAATTCCGACTCTTCAGTGGAAATCAACGACGGCAGGCGGTTACCCCTCTTCCCTGGACTATTACACCCCGCCACATTTTTACCCCCACCAGGATTGTTATTTCCGCCTGGATATCATCCCCTCTATCCAGGATTACTGCAACCCGCGAACAACAATAACAGGTTTGTACGATATTTTCAGAATAAATGTTACATCTCAAACTCCAGCCAAGGTAATCCACATGTTTATCCAAATTCTCTTTTGTTTCAGGCTAATACGCAACCACAACCCGGGCGTGGAGACCTTCAGTAAACGCATATTCCTCGACGCCGTGCTCCAATCGCAGCGTAGTCCTACCCCCGAAGAACCGGAGCCAGTAGTCACTTCCGACAGTCCCGTCCCCTTGCAGGAGGACCCGATCGACTTGAGCATGAAGCCGAGTAGCGATCGAGGCTCCTCCCCTTCGCGCAGCGATCGTTCTGGGTCGGTAGCGACCGAGAGGGGCGGTCACGGCAGCGAAGCGGACGAAGAGAGCGACTATGACAGCGAGGGAGCGTTGAGAAGTGTACAAATGCTCAGGCCGACACCGCTAGATCTTACGACTAAGGTGTGACCGGAGAGACCGTTCTCCAATCTCGACGCAGTCGCATCCCTGAAGAGGCGGAGCCAGTAGCGACGTCCGACAGTGCATCCCACTGTAATAGGCCCCGTTCAGGGTCAGTAGCGACAGAGATGCACGGTCACGGCAGCGAAGCGGACGAAAAGAGCGGCTGTGACAGCGAGGGAGCTTTCAGAAGTGTAAAAATGCTCACGCCGTCATCCCTAGATCTTACAACTAAGGTGTGATCGTTCTCCAATCTCGCCGCAGTCGCATCCCTGAAGAGGCGGAGCCAGTAGCGACGTCCGACGGTCTCCTCCCACTACAATAAGGCCTGACCGAACTGACCATGAAGTCTTTACGACCGATGCTCCTCCCCAACGCGCAGCAAGCATTGAGAAGTCAGTAGGGGCGGAGTGTGACTGTGACGGTGAGGCGCCAAGAGGAGTGCAGATGGTCAGGGTGCCGCTGCTAGATCTCACAACGGGCGTGTGATCGGAGTGGTCGTCCTCAAATCACAACGCGGTCCCACCCCTGAAGAGGTGGAGCCGGTGGCGACGCCCCAGTCTTTTCCTACTGCAGGAGAACCTGATCGACTTGAGCATGAAACCGAGAGGGGCAGCGAAACGAAAGTGACTGTGACAGTGGAGGAACAGGAGTAAGCTGCGTGAAGATGCTTAGCCTGTTGCCGTTGGATATGACCGGAGCATTGAAGGTGTTATGCTGCTGGGGCCAATCACCACCGTGATGATGTGTTCTTATAGGGTGTCTGACGCATCGACAAAATTAGACTATCCGAATCTAGTACATATTTTCATGTTTAGACGCTCCACGTGCCAGCCGTCGGCACTATTGGTATCAGTATGATATATCGTTTTAGCAATAATAAAAAAATCGAGCATTGTCCTATCCACTGATAACTGATATGTTCAGTAATGTGCTATAAATAAGCAAGCTTCTTCAGTTTAAAATTCTTAGCTGGCAGTCCAGAGCCTAGCGCGCAAGTTACCTACGACCTTAATATACCGCATTCATCTGGAGAGATTGATGGCAGAACGCTTGGCTTAATAATAACGTTAAGTAGAATAAGAGGAAGAAAATTGGAAGTTGATGGCCAATTAGCCAATGGCGGCCAGCCTTAAGATACATCGGCGAACTTTTCAATTCGTTCCAAAGACCTTTAAGATCAAAACTAGAATTTGCTAAAGATATTCCACGATTCAACAGATTTTTATACGGGAAATGCTAATTTTACATACGGTCAAATTATTTAGATATATGAGAGGTTCGTTTGGGACGCCGCTGAGCTCATATCCAATAAAGTTTATATACCAGAAATATAAAATCCGAAATACGAGAAAGTTTTATAATGCGGTATCCAATTTCATAATATACGCCTACGTCGATGAGAGATTCGACCGAATAAAAATAACTATTAGAGACGAAGATGGTAAATCACATATAGAACGGTAAACTATGCATAATCGAGTCAATAAAGTACTAGCCATTCAATAAGCTAAGAAATGATTCATCAATTTCTATGGAGATATTACACGTTTTCGGTGGTTATGGAGTTAATAAAAGTAAAAGCACTAGTATATGTCCAAGTAAGCTAATCTTGCAACGAATATGTGTAGCTGTCAAGTGCAAAACTGTTGAATATGATGAATGAGAAAAAACATAGGATATATAATATTCACAATCCTAACTGAAAAGATCAAGAAGCTAGGGTCATCAAAAATGGAAAATCGTGTACTACAGAGGGAAATCAAAGAATATTAAATTATATTAGTACAGCATGTGATGACTGTGGCAGTGCTTTCCATCGTTGAGACACCAGAAATAGTACCACCTAACTATAAAGATCCGCATATAACGTGTCGAGATGTTCATTTCTAGCTACTAAACCATACAGCTAATTCGTTTCTGTCATTTTTTTGTACTTCAGAGCGAAACTGACCGGACTATCTCGGTTCCACACATGCTCGTTAAGCCCGGCATCTCTAAATAGTACCGTTGGTCGTACCTCGACGCACCGGCCGGATTGTTCCTATCACAAATCAAAAAGGCCGCGCCGCGTGACCCCAGCCGCAGCGCGAAGAAAAACAATTGAAAAGTTGCGCCGTCAACGCCGCCTCGACGATTTTCTATAAATGTTCGGGCACGCTTTTATTGATCAGTACCACAACTCGGCCGGTCGTACCGGCGAGTTAATTGTGGTGCACCATACCATGGTACCACCATTGTGTCCAACCGGCTGATAGACGTGGGAATATTATACGCCAGCACGTCTAGCGGAAAACAAGGCACCTGTCTGACGACTAGACTGCTTTTGATATCCTGGTACTACGGTGTGAAAAATCGAGCCACGTAGATTTACTCGGTACTAACTTGAGTACTACCCAAACATTGCCCTGGTCCCAGAGGTACCTGTCTTAGCAGACTCAATATCCTGATAGATGAATTCAATCGAGCAGACTGACTCGGTACTGCAGGTGGTACTACCTGAGGTGCTACCCAAACATCTTAACCACGAGGTATTTGTCTGATTAGACTCAGCATCCTAATGCATAAAAATTCACTCACGGAGATTGACTTGGTACTGTCTGGGGTACTACCTGGGTACTACCCAAACATTCTCTGATCCACGAGGTACTTACCCGATTAGACTCCATATCCTGATAGATGAAAATACAATCAAGAAGATTGACTGGGTACTGCCTACAGTACTACCTGTGGTACTACCCAAACATTCTCTGGTCCACGAGGCACTTGCCTAATTAGACTCAATATCCTGACAGATAAACATTCAATCAAGCAGATTGACTCGGTTCTACCTGGGGTACTACCTGTGGTACTAGACAAAGATTCTCTAAGCCACTAGGTATCCTGATAGATGAAAATTCAGTCATGCAGTTTGACTCGGTACTTGTCAGATGAGACTCAATATCCTGATAGGACATGAAAATTCAATCAAGCAGATTGACTCGGTACTACCTTAGCATTCCCTCTTCCACGACATCCTTGCCTAACTAGACTGCTTTATATATTGATGCTGCGTGCAAATTGAGTCAGTTACACTGACTCGATACTGTCCTGGGTACTACCTAAGCAACCTACTGATTTTGATAACCTGGCGCAATCTGAAAAATTGAGGTATATTGATTCGGTACTGCGTAAGGTACTACCACAGCATTCTTTGTTCTACGAAGCACCTGCCTAACTAGATGCATTCGATGTGCTGAAACGACGTGAATTGAATCAAAAAGGTTGAATCGGTACTGATTGGGTACTACCTAGGCATATGCCGTTTCACAAGATATCTGCCTGAGTAGTGTCATTGATATCCTGGTATAATGTGAAAAATTGGCTCGGTGCAACCTGGGTACTATCTTTCCGCTAGGCAAAATCCTGAGTCAAGTAGATTGACTCAGTACCACACGGCATTACCTACACCTTGACGGTTTAGGTGCTGCTGGTCCTTTATAGTAAAATTACTAAAAATGTGTGAGATGTTATAAGGTATTTAAAACTGTTAAAGTAGAGCTACTTGGTACCACCTGCTCCTATAGGTGAATCTTGCCGCTGTGGTACTATCTTTGATATGCTAAATCAGATATTTAAAGCTCAATGACATCTTGATACTCCAACCCAACGGTAATCTCGTAGAAATAATTTTAATTGCATTTTTTTAGCTCTCTACCAAAGTTGCGCATGGCCTGTCACATTTTGCATATTTTTTTTTCTAATTTTTGGTGGATGCGTCAGATACCTAGATCTAGTTTATTATTCCAATTCTAAACTCCTTCTTTTAAAGGCAATGTAATTGTTACTACTTTAGTTCTTTTGCACATTGTCGCTTTAATTTTTGTACATATACGTATTTATAAACATTTTATGTAAATTTTTCTTGCGTAGTGATATTAAGAGAATGCTCTGTTTTTGTATAAAAACAAGAAAAATGTGAATTTGTTGGCCAGTATACTTAGCTCCAAAAACCAAATCGTTTTATACAATACTTCCTAGATATTAGTGCACTTTTTATAAAAATGATACTGTGAAAATTTGTATAAAAATGCGGTTTGAGGAGCAGTGCAATGTTGAAATTTTTGTTACTTTATACAAAGCCAGTTTTTCACTGGCATTCATAGATAGATTATTGTTAATATTTTTCTAGCCGATTACCTACCTGTTTTTCAATAAACAGTTTTATCAACCGATGTTACTGTTTCATTTGTTGTAAGTATTCCTTAAATAATGCTGTTGAATGAAATGGCATCTAAAGAGTACTTAGTCGAGCATTTATAAAGTGTAATTTTGAGGGTATCCCGTCTTCACTTTGCCGGTATTAATAAAACTAGGGATGCCAAAGGCTGTTTTAAATTGAGCGAAAAATTAATTCTTTACGCAAAAATGCCATTTCCGCCTAAAGCGGTCGATCTTCATATCAAAGTTTTATGTCTAAGCTCAGTCTTGTATATAATATTACTACGATACGTAAACAAACATATTCAAATTTGATATATAAAAGATATATGCTTCTTGGGGACTCGGAGCTGAACACATTCAAACCTGTATTTTGCAGTTCTTAAAACATTTAAGAAGTGTTAATTATGCACAGATACTAAAACTACTATTTGCAACGGTCTACTTTGCAAAGTGACTCAATTTCACCAATAACCAAACCGTTACTTTCCTCATGTCGGGATACCCTTGTTGTCGTCTGCTTTACTTCAGTCTAAATAAACCCCATACATGTAGCAAATACCGCAGTATTTTTTCGATACACCTAATCTTGGGCATTTTTTGTGCGAGAAATGTAAAATGTATTTTATATATTATATATTTTGTTGTATATTGTTTTTTGTATGATCTTTTGATAGAATATCCGTCTGTCTGATTCGTAGGGGACTAGGGCCAGTGGCATGTGTGAATGGTGAGAGTGTGAGATGTTGTAAAAAAAATATATGAATAAACAGTGATCTTTATTTATTACATTATTTGTTTTCGTACCCAACCACATTCCTTCAACAACAGAGTGCTACCCGAAACGAAAACCTTTCAAAAATCGGGTATGCTGAGATTGATAGGATGTGCTAAAAATAATTTAAAAAACAAGGTGGGATGAATAAGAATTTCCGCCTCGAGAAAAAGGACCCCGCACAAAGCATATGGAAAATTGGTATCAGCCGATTTATTTGAAAATTCATGATGACATATTTCTCGCCTTCCTGAACCAAAGGTCTCATCAAACCAAAGCAATCCGATGATTAGTTACTGAGAAATATGGGGATGAATTTCGCTGATTTGCAAAAATGGTGAATGTGGACATAAAATCGATTTTTAAATTTCTCGATAAAGCTACTCAAATGCAGCAAATACCGAATCTAGGAGACCTTTATGAAATAGTTGTTGCTCCAATTATTATTTATTGGAGGCGCTAATGTTGCAATAAAGTATCAACCATGGATAATATCTCATCGACAAGCTTATGAAAATAACAAGGATGTACCTGGTGATTATGAAATAATGAGCGGGATTGCGGACATGTATATCTAGCACCTAGACTCTAAGAAACATATGGTTTTTTATATGCCCTTCACGAGATTCTAGTTTGTTTTTTTCGAAAACGTTGAGACAAACCTTTCGATATGCCGCAGGCAAACCAAAACAATACAATATGTGATTACATTATTATGCTTTTTCCTATTCTATTGTCTTCACAAAGCTCAATATCAAAGACAATTAAACAACCACGACATTTACATGCCCTTGTGATCGAGTAATTTTTTTTAATTTTCGAACAACTCGAGCCAGAATTATTTTATTGTTAACGTATGAAAATCAAATTGCCCTTAAATTGACTTTATTCAGTATGATAATTTTCCGAGTACTTGGTCCGAGAACAAAGATTTGCACATTCACCATTTTCGCAAATCGGACAAACCATCCGCCTGTTTCTCGGAAGAAAAACTCGTCATAGGATTGCTTTGGTCACGAGGTACTGATTTTGAGACACATCGAGTGGGGCTTACTTTTCATATGTTTTGTGCAGGGTACTTACACAGTTTTGTTCGTTTACAAGAACAGAAAACTTTGCATCTTGATGTCAACTAATGTCGGCTTCTGGGGTGAATCTAAAGCGTAAATCATTAATTTGATATCATTATTTTGATCGAACGCATCAAAATTTACATTTACAAGTATGCTTTCGCGATCATATGCATTTTTAGATGGCCGTATCGAAATCAACGAACCGAATTAAGGCTAATGAAAATGAAAATTTGCAGTGGTTGTCCCTGGTATAGTTTCCATGGAAATACACTGTATGACAGTGCGAAGTTAATGTTTAAGACTACAGAAAAAAAAAATGGTCCCATTATGATTTGATCAACACATAATGTTTTTACGAACCAAGCTGCTAGTGATTCTGGCATAAGAAAATATAAGTATACCACAAAAAATACTACGAGGCTAGTTGATTCCTCGTCTTTTGTCAGAGGACCTAAAAAGCTTACGAATGAGCTGATCTATGCACGGAATGCAAGCAAAACGGTAATGACTTTCTTTCGTCAATAATTGTTGACGACGAATCTTGGTGTCATTATTTTGAACCTTCCAGTAAGCTGTCATCGATGCAATGGAAACATGCAAGTTCTCCAGAACCAAAGATTAACCTTCTGCAGTCAAGGTCAATTTAACAATTTTTTTCAATCTATATAATGAAACTTTAAACAATCTCCATCAAGCAATAACACGCAAAAGGCCAGGAAGCTCTCACGTGGTGTTATTTGCCCGACAATGATCAGCCTCATGTTACCAGAGTAGTGAAAGAAAATCTACAATGAAGAAATGGAAAATATTAGATCATCTACCTTATAGTCATGATTTTCAAATCTTTGGACACTGGAGAAGGTGTTAAAAGGTAAGCATTTTCAGTCGGTCGAAGAAATATAAAATGCCGTAAAAGAACTCTTCAAGCAGCCACAATAATTCTTTAAGCATCGATCGGTAAAACATGAGATATGTGCCTCAATTGTAGTGTAGATGTATTGACCAATAAATTATTTCAATTGAACAAACAGCGTACAAAATAATTTTCTAGCTAAGGCGAAATTAGCGTCTTCTATCTCTGATGTCAATGATCAAAATAAAAATCCGCACGAATGATAAACATTATTGAGACTCATCGTATATTTGTCGAACCGCTAGACATTCCGTACGGATGTTCAACACGCCCCAAACATTGAAAAGGCTGTACGGCCAGCGTACCGTCCAGACCTGATGCCATTGAAAGATATCGTCCCCAAAACAAACATCGTTCGATTCAAAATGCGTAAATCAAACTTCACTGGCGCTTATCTGATATGAGTGACATCGTATACATGTATACATACAAATTGTTACCGAGATGATGTTCGCATTATTAATCCATTGAAAATTTGTGAGGATTCATTTCTTCTCCATCAAAAAAGATCACCTCGGAGCTGCTGGACATTCTTGCGCTAAGACTCAGATCGACAGACCACATAAGTTAAGACTTTATCACTTCGATCACGCTAGAGCCTGATAGAAGTATAAGAAACTTCGCAAGTTATTTGGTCTATAACCCATGCTCAATTCCGCGTTATCTTCTGCAAATAACTGAACAGGTTTTGCGGTATAGATTATATTTCAGATAACGAAAGCGAAATCAAAATCCCTTTAGTCGCCTAAAATGTCAAAGAAACACACACATGATAATAAACATGTCTAGGCAGTACTTCTTTTTCCAAATTACTATAAGAATTCCGCAATACTTCGTCGATAGAAACATATTCTGCAATCATGTACCTACATATGTATATAATCATTTCTTCTGTTTCCGCATGGTGCATGTAACACACTTTCTAGTCTCACACGGTGAGGTACGACTCGGGTTCGACGCGGCGGGTCTGTAAAACAAGTCGCATTATATTTGAAAGAGGATTTTGGTGTCGAATTCCGAGCCTGTGCTTCGCCTTAATTTTGATATCTAGAAACGGTGCAAACGAATAAAATTCTCGACGGCAAGCTACTTTCTTCTCGGATACCGTAATTCTGGGATACGCCCCCGCGATCGAGCCGCCGGCAATGGGCGGTGTGTCATCAAGTCATTGGTGGCGATGACAAGAATACGAAAAGGAATGATCGACAAGCCATGTGATGCCTTGTACATTTTGAAAGACGGTCCAGATGCGAGAAGACTGTGAATAAAAAAAATCGTGCAGTTAAATATGTTGAGCGTGATCAAGAACCTTTTGGATTTGATTGGGATTTTAGTAAGAAATCTCAAGCACCATTTTTCAATGCTGTTACAATTTTATGACCTGTTAAGAGAGAGTTATATGTTTCACGTTGCAGATGGGGCTCAGAATCCGCAAATTCTGCTAATGGATCAACTTACATCTCATCTAGTCAAGTCAATTACACTGATCAACAGCCAAAAAATATCCTAAATAAAATCAGCAAAATATTACTAATTTTCATGTGGTAAATTCGGAATGAAACTTATTTTTTCAATATTAGTTCAAGTTTTAGAGATACGGTAATTATATGTGTTCCTGCTGTGACAGTGTTAATATACTGTTATTCACAAGAATGCACGTGCTACATTTTACGTTATACATACGTGTACATTATATTGTTTTATATTAGCCATTTTTTCCTCAGTTGGCTGACAGCGTTCATGCAAGATGTCTCGAATGTGTGTAAACAATCCAGATCAGTTTTGTTACGTGTGTGGTGATGTGACTTTTGCGTCTCAGAGACGGTCTATTACTCCACTAATAACAAAGGCATATCAGCTTTATTCCGGTTGTAAACTAGGTGATCAAGACAAACAGTGGGCACCCCACATCTGCTGTAATACATGTGCTTCAAGTCTGAGGGGCTGGTTAAATGGCAAAAAACGGTCTATGCGCTTTGCTGTCCCAATGGTTTGGAGAGAGCCTACAAATCATATTAATGATTGTTATTTTTGCATGGTACCTTGTGTTGGACAAGCCACAGGTATGTCCAAGAAAAAAAAATCGGTTATTAACTACCCAAACATACCATCTGCGATGAGACCTGTGCCTCACAGTGACGAAAATCATATTCCAAAAACCCCAGAATCCTACACTTGCGAATCAGAAAACGAATCAGATCATGGCGATCGAGTGATTCGTCAGGAAGAAGATATGCCATCAACGTCAAGAGATCCTGATTTTATACCGAGCACGTCATGCCACCAACCGCACAAAATAACACAGTCAGAATTAAATGATCTTGTAAAAGATTTAGAACTTCCAAAATGTAAGGCAGAGTTACTTGGATCAAGACTGCAGCAGTGGAACTTGTTAGAAGACGATGTTTCGGTATGTGTTTTTCGTAAACTCCACAAAGACTTAGAACCATTTTTCAATATGGAGAATAACTTGGTTTTCTGCAGTAACATTAACGGCTTACTGGCGGCTTTAAATATAAACTATAACCCAGAAGAATGGAGATTGTTTATAGACAGTTCAACATTGAGTTTAAAGGCAGTGTTATTGCATATTGGAAATATTTTACCATCTCTTCCTGTAGGGTATGCAGTTCACATGAAAGAATCATATGACAATATGAAGTACCTATTGACATGCATAAAATACGATGAGCACCAATGGCATATTTGTGGCGATTTGAAAGTTGTTGCACTTGTACAAATGTACAGCATATGCCATTAGTAGATTCGAAAAAAAATTTATTACCACCACTGCATATCAAGTTGGGCCTAATGAAAAACTTTGTCAAGGCATTAGATAGAGATGGGTCAGCTTTTTAATACCTGCGTCAGAAATTTCCAAGACTAAGTGAGGCAAAGGTTAAAGAAGGTATTTTGGTTGGACCACAGATTCGAAATATTTTGAAAGATACACAGTTTGAAAACACTTTAACAGGTATTGACAAAACTGCTTGGAATGATTTCCGTCTGG